GAAGAGATTTACAAGTACTAGCATTAATCAAATAAGATGACTAATATAATCATGTTAACAATCTATAATCTAATTGGAACCTCCTTTATGTGTAGTTTCCGATTGAAAAATAAGAGTTTATACTATACTTGTTTGACATACCATTAGTGGAACCTCTAACCTTGACATTTGTTATTATCATTGTTTAATCGTTACATTAATATTCCATATCAAAGTTCTCATCTTCTTCTTCTTCTTCTCCTTCTTTTTCTTTATTATTGTTATTATTATTATTACTATTATTATTAGTATTACTACTATTATTATTATTGTTATTGTTATTGTTATTATTGTTATTATTATTATTGTTATTACTATTATTATTGTTGTTGTTGTTATTATTATTATTGTTGTATTATTGTATTTATAATTTGTACAATTAACCTCCCCGTGGTTCGATGATTAGTACTTAAAAGTACATTTTTATCATTGTTTTATATCATCATTTTGCACTTGAAGTATCAATAACTCCTTAACTAAAGCATGTTTTATAATAATATATCTAATAATATAAGATACCTTTAATTTGTGGTAAATGTCTATTTTTAATGCAGGTCTATCACATAAATGAAAGGATTGATTGATGACTTGAAGAACTTAAATTGCATGGATAAAGAGATGGTCAAACTTAGAGAAGAGATGTCGGTGCAATCCAAACCGGAACACTGTTCGGTAATTGGGTCATATCTGGAGCTATAGATCTCAGATTTAGGTATAATTTATATGGATGGTAAGGTAAGACATAGGCCTACAACTTTCATATGGAGCCCAAGATCTAAAAAGGTCATTTTCAAGTCCAAATTGTAGCAATAACAAAGAAGCCCGAATCTGTCCTCCAGCCCGAGCACTGTTCAGTATTTTGGCCATATTCGGAGTTCTGGAACTCCCAATGAGCTAAAGTTTTTACACAAGAAAGCAGAGACAATTGCCTACAACTTTCATGTTTTCACCTGGCTCCAATTGTGACGTTATCAATGACATTTTGGGCAGACAAGAGAAGATAAGGATTGTCACCAAGTCAAAAGTTGGCCACCCACTCATCAATTAGTCATCAAATCAATAGTTCCTAATTTTGGCCTATAAAAGGAGGCATTTGCCATGTATTTAGGCATCTTGGTCTCTAGATCAAGATCATGCTCTTGCTTTCTTTCTTTGTATTTTTTGTAATGTTTATGCTTTGCTTTCATTAATATCAAGTTTATGGCTTTCTTTCTTTGTATTTTTTGTAATGTTTATGCTTTGCTTTCATTAATATCAAGTTTATGGCTTTCATTTCCTTTTCTTTTATTATGTCTAGCTAAGTTTATTATGTCAAGGTGAAAAGGTCACACTAATGGTGTAAGAATAAGTATAGTGTAAACTTAATATGGACTTTAATCCTTTCATTAATATTCCATCTCAAAGTTCTTATCTTCTTCTTCTTCTTCTTCTCCTTCTTTTTTATTTATTATTATTATTATTATTATAATTATTATTGTTATTACTATTATTATTGTTATTGTTGTTGTTATTGTTGTTGTATTATTGTTATTTATAATTTGTACAATTAACCTCCTTGTGGTTCGACCCCGGTCTTGCCGGGTTATTTATTACTTCGACACTCCTGCACTTGGGAGAAGACATCAATCTTTTAGTCGTGTCAAGTTTTTGGCGCTGTTGCTGGGGAGGTAAGTTCTTGTATAAATTATAGTAGTTATTTTATTTTCCCTTTTCACTTGTATATAACTTTGTTTCTTTTCTCTTGTTTCTTCTTCTTTTGTTTTCTTCTTCCTTTTATTCTATTCCAACACGTGTATGAGAGTGTGGCCACGTACATCAAGTGGTAGACTTTGTAGGGTATCCTCATCATTTTCAGAAAATATAGCCAAAGAAGATAATCAATCACTTCATAATGAGAATAATGAGAATAACCGTGCTAGAACACTTAGAGATCACATGAATCCCACAAGAACAAGTGTACCATTATGCATAGTTTTTCCTCCCGATGCATCTCATTTTAATTTTAAGCTAGGCATTATTCAACTTTTACCTTCTTTTCATAGCTTAGAATTGGAAAATGCATACTTGCATTTAAGGGAATTTGAGGAGGTCTGCAACACATATAATAATTTAAATTGTAGCATGAACACCATTAGATTAAAGCTTTTTCCTTTTTCATTAAAAGATAAAGCTAAAACATGGCTACAAAATTTAAGACCATGATCCATTCGTGCTTGGGATGAAATGCAACAACAATTTTTAAAGAAGTTTTTCCCATCTCATAGAACAAACTCTTTCAAAAGACAAATCACCACTTTCACTCAAAAACCAGGAGAAACATTTTACCAATGTTGGGATAGGTATCGAGACTTGCTTAGTACTTGCCCTCATCATGGTTTTGAAACATGGAGATTGGTTTCACATTTCTATGAAGGGTTAACACCTAAAGATAGGCAAATGGTTGAATTGATGTGCAATGGAACTTTTGAAGATAAAGACCCTGATGAAGCAATGGAGTACTTAGACTTGTTAGCTGAAAATGCTCAAAATTGGGACACTGCGGGTACTTATGAGGCACCGAGTAAAACTCAACCTCATACATCTAGTAGAGGTATGTACAACCTTAGGGAAGATCATGACCTCCAAGCTAAGTTTGCATCTTTAGCTAGAAAAGTCGAGGCACTAGAATTGAAAAAGAGTGGTCAATTAAAATCTATTAAAAACATTCTGTGTCAAATATGTGAAACAAATGACACTCAACCAATAACTGTCTAACCTTGCCTTCTTTTAAGGAATGTCTCCATGAACAAGCGCATGCTTTAAACAGTTTCCAAAGGCCCAACCATAACCCATACTCGCAAACATACAACCCTGGTGGGAGAAATCATCCAAATTTCAGTTGGAAGAGTGATAATAACAATGCACAAACTTCATAACCACCGTTTCAAGCACACCATAATTCCCAAAATTATCATGGATATGTATCTTCTTATGCTCCACCTCCTACAAGAAATTTTGAGGAAACTTTGTATGCATTCATTGAAAAGCAAGAGACAATCAATACTCAACTTGCTCAAAGCATAACAGATTTTAAAGATACTCTTGCAAAATTCACATCTGCTCTCAATTTTCAAGAGAAAAGTAAGTTTCCATCTCAACCACAACAAAATCCCAAGGGGCAATACAATGCAAATGCAAGTAGTTCTAGAAGTCAACACATGGATCAAGTCAAATCAGTCATCACTCTTCGCAGTGGTAAGGTTATTAAAAAACCCACTTTTAAACCTTGTGAGAAAGATGATGTGTCAATCTCTAAGGGTAAGGAAGGGGTTGAATCTAAATATTGCAAGGAAAAGACTGATTCCTTGCTAGCACTTCCATTTCCTCATGCCATGACCAATCAGGAAGACATCGATGATGAAAAAGGCACAGAAAATGTTGATGCGGATGTTTTATCAAAAGTGACAACAGATTCGACACCCGACATCACACCAATCAATTATTCTTTTCCTGATGAATCTCTACTTTCTCTTAGTTCAATGCCTTGGTTTGCTAAAAATATTAATTTTCTTGCTTCAGGATTTTTGCCAGCTCACTAGAGTACCGAAGATAAAAGAAATTTTTTTAGCAACGTGCAAAACTTTTATTGGGATGACCCTTACTTATTCAATTATCGTCCTGATCAAATATTTTAAAGATGCTTTCCCGATAATGAGGTAAGTAATTTCATTAAATTTTGTCACTCTAAGGCACGTGGGGATCATTTCTCGTAAAAAAAAAGGACTGTAGAAATCTTACAAAGTGGATTTTACTGGCCCACCATAGTCAAGGAGTCACATGCATTCCACAAAAATTGTGAAAATTGTCAAAAGGTGGGATTTATTTCAAAACACATAGAGTCTTTAGATAATCTTCTATTGACTCTTAAGTCTCATCATAGTCGAGATAAGTATCGTGCAATTCATGACTTATGAACCCATTTTCATAAAGAACATGCTTGACATAGTCTTGAGAATCTGACTAAAAAAGACCATGTTTGCTAGTTTTTAAGAAAACTAGATGGGAAGCCTATTGATTAGTACTTAAAAGTGCATTTTTATCATGGTTTTATATTATCATTTTGCACTCGAAGTATCAATAACTCCTTAACTAAATCATGTTTTATAATAATATATCTAATAATATAAAATACCTTTAATTTATGGTAAATGTTCATTTTAAATGCAGGCCTATCACATAAATGAAAGGATTGATTGATGACTTTAAGAACTTAAATTGCAAGGGCAAAGAGATGACCAAAATTAGAAAAGAGATGTTGGTGCAATCCAAACCGGAACACTGTTCGGTAATTGGGTCATATCTGGAGCTATAGATCTCAGATTTAGGTCTACTTTATATAGATGGAAGGTAAGACATAGGCCTACAACTTTCATATGGAGCCCAAGATCTAAAAAGGCCATTTTCAAGTCCAAATTGTAGCAACAACAAAGAAGCCCAAATCTGTCCTCCAGCCCAAGCACTGTTCAGTATTTTGGCCATCTCTGGAGTTCTAGAAGTCCAAATGAGCTGAATGTTTTATACAAGAAAGCTGAGACAATTGCCTACAACTTTCTTGATTTCGAATGGCTCTAGTTTTGACGTTATCAATGACGTTTTGGGCAGACAAGAGAAGATAAGGATTGTCACCAAGTCAAGAGTTGGCCACCCACTCATCAATTAGTCATCAAATCAATAGTTCCCAATTTTGGCCTATAAAAGGAGGCATTTGCCATGCATTTAGGCTTGGCGTATAAAAGGAGGCATTTGCCATGCATTTAAGCATCTTGGTTTCCAGATCAAGATCATGCTCTTCCTTTCTCTCTTTGTATTTTTTGTAATGTTTATGCTTTGCTTTCATTAATATCAAGTTTATGCCTTTCCTTTCCTTTCCTTTACTTAGTTAACTCTATCTTATTTATGTTCTTATTTTGTTTATTTATTTTTATTTCTTTCATTATGTCTAGCTAAGTTTATTATGTCAAAGTGAAAAGGTTACACTAATGGTGTAAGAATAAGTATAATGTAAACTTAAGGTGTAAGAATAAATATAGTGTAAACTTAATATGGACTTTAATGTTTGATACTAACATGTTTTGTATTTGTTATCTTATTCACTCTTTAATACTTTACTTGTTAAATGATTAATCTTGATTTATGTTGTATAACACTTGGTACAACAAATGCTTGGCACTTTCATAGTTCATATTGTATGGTATAACCGACACTTGAGCTATGAAAGGAACTTGATTTGTTGTTAACATAAGTTATAATCATAAATGTTTGACGAGATTTACAAGTATTAGCATTAATCGAATAAGATGACTAATATAATCATGTTAACAATCTATAATCTGATTGGAACCTCCTTTATGTGTGGTTTCCAATTGAATAATAAGAGTTTATATTATACTTGTTTGACATACCATTAGTGGAACCTCTAACCTTGACATTTGTTATTATTATTGTTTAATCCTTACATTAATTTTCCATCTCCAAGTTCTCATCATCATCTTCTTCTTCTCTTTCTTTATTATTATTATTATTATTATTATTATTATTATTATTATTATTATTGTTGTTGTTGTTGTTATTGTCATTGTTGTTATTATTGTTATTACTATTATTATTGTTGTTGTTGTTATTATTATTATTGTTATACTATTCTCTTTTATGATTTGTACAATTAACCTCCCTATGGTTCGACCCCGGTCTTGCCGGGTTATTTATTACTTTGACACTCCTGCACTTGGGAGAAGACATCAATCTTTCAGTCGTGTCAAGTTTTTGGCGTCGTTGCCGGGGAGGTAAGTTTTGTATAAATTATAATATTTATTTCATTTTCTCTTTTCTCTTTTCACTTTTCTTGTATATAACTTTGTTTCTTTTGTCTTGTTTCTTCTTCTTTTGTTTTCTTTTTCCTTTTATTCTATTCCTACACATGCATGAGAGTGTGGTCACGTACGTCAAGTGGTAGACTTTGTAGGATATCCTCATCATTTTTAGAAAATATGGCCGAAGAAGATAATCAATCATTTCATAATGAGAATAATGAGAATAATCGTGCTAGAACACTTAGAGACCACATGAATCCCACAAGAACAAGTGCACCATCATGCATAGTTTTCCCTCCCGATGCATTTCATTTTAATTTTAAACCAGGTATTATTCAACTTTTACCTTCTTTTCATGGCTTAGAATTGGAAAATGCATACTTGCATTTAAGGGAATTTGAGGAGGTCTGCAACACATATAATAATTTAAATTGTAGCATGAACACCATCAGATTAAAGCTCATATAATAATTTAAATTGTAGAGGGAATTTGAGGAGGTCTGCAACACATATAATAATTTAAATTGTAGGATGAACACCATCAAATTAAAGCTTTTTTCTTTTTCATTTAAAGATAAAGCTAAAACATGGCTACAACATTTAAGACTAGGATGCATTCGTGCTTGGGATGACATGCAACAACACTTTTTAAAGAAGTTTTTCCCATCTCATAGAACAAACTCTTTCAAAAGACAAATCACCACTTTCACTCAAAAACCAGGAGAAACATTTTACAAATGTTGGGATAGGTATCGAGACTTGCTTAGTACTTGCCCTCATCATGGTTTTGAAACATGGAGATTGGTTTCACATTTCTATGAAGGGTTAACACCTAAAGATAGGCAAATGGTTGAATTGATGTGCAATGGAACTTTTGAAGATAAAGACCCTAATGAAGCAATGGAGTACTTAGACTTGTTAGCTGAAAATGCTCAAAATTGGGACACCGCAGGTACATATGAGGCACCGAGTAAAACTCAACCTGATACATCTAGTGGAGATATGTACAACCTTAGGGAAGATCATGACCTCCAAGCCAAGTTTGCATCTTTAGTTAAAAAAGTCGTGGCACTAGAATTGAAAAAGAGTGGTCAATTAAAATCTGTTGAAAACATAGTGTGTCAAATATGTGAAACAAATGAACACTCAACCAACGATTGTCCAACCTTGCCTTCTTTTAAGAAATGTCTCCATGAACAAGCCTATGCTTTAAATAGTTTCGAAAGGTCCAATCACAACCTATATTCACAAACATACAATCTTGGTTGGAAAAATCACCCAAATTTCAATTGAAAGAGTGACAATGCACAAACTTCACCACCACAGTTTCAAGCACACCATAATTTCCAAAATTATTATAGATATGCACCTCCTTATGCTCCACCTCCTAGATGAAATTTTGAGGAAACTTTGTATGCATTCGTTGAAAAGCAAGAGAAAATCAACAGTCAACTTGCTCAAAGCATAACAGATTTTAAAGATACTCTTGCAAAATTAACATTTGCTCTCAGTTTTCAAGAGAAAGGTAAGTTTCCATCTCAACCACAACAAAATCCCAAGGGGCAATACAATGCAAATGCAAGTAGTTCTGGAAGCCAACACACGGATCAAGTCAAATCAGTCACTACTCTGCGCAGTGGTAAGGTTATTGAAAAACCCTCTCTTGAACCTTATGAGAAAGATGATGAGTCAATCTCTGAGGGTAAGGAAGGGGTTGAATCTGAAAATTGCAAAGAAAAGACTGATTCTCCGCCAGCACTTCCATTTCCTCAAGCCATGACCAAACAAAGGAAAGTCAATCACAACTCTGAAATTTTTGAAATTTTCAAACAGGTAAGGATCAATATACCTTTGCTGGATGCTATTAAACAGGTTCCTTCCTATGCTAAATTTTTGAAAGATATATGCACTGTGAAGAGGAAACTGAATGTGAAAAAGAAAGCCTTTCTAGCCGAACAAGTAAGTGCTATTCTTCAAAACAATAATGCTTTGAAATATAAAGACCCTGATTGTCCTACAATTTCTTGCTTTATTGGAGAGCATAAAATTGAAAGAGCCTTACTTGATCTCGATGCTAGTGTGAATTTACTTCCATATTCAGTTTTTCAGAGTCTCAATCTATGTGAGTTAAAACCAACTTCTATAACTCTTTTACTTGCCGATAGATCTGTAAAAGTGCCTAGAGGAATAATTGAAGATGTGTTAGTACAAGTTGATAAATTCATTTATCCTGTGGATTTTATTGTCTTGGACACACAACCTGTTGAAGGATGTAATTCATTCCTGTTATTTTAGGACGTCCATTTCTTGCAACTTCTAATGCATTGATTAATTGTAGGAATGGACTGATAAAGCTATCATTTGGAAATATGACATTGGAGATGAATACTTTCAACATTTGCAAGCAACCTAGAGATGATAATGATTTACAGGAAGTGAACTTTACTGAAAAATTAATTCATGATCAATTTCCAACCACTTCCAATGAAATTGAGATTGATGAATTTGATGATTTGCAAATGATTTATTTTCAGGAAGAATTAAAGACAAGTAATTGGAGGCCACAAATTGAGGAATTGCCACCACGATCAATTAAGTCCATACCTTCAAGTGTTCAACCACCAAAACCTGATTTGAAGCCATTGCCATCCAATCTCAAATACTCATTTTTGGGAGAAAATGAAACTTTTCCGGTAATAATCTCTTCCAAACTTAATGCACATCAAGAAGGTAAGTTATTACAAACTCTAAAAATGCACAAAAATGCATTAGGATGGACCATAGCTGATATAAAAGGAATTAGTCCTTTGATTTGTACACACATAATTTATTTAGAGGAAAATGCTAAACCCTCTAGAGAAATGCAACGAAGGCTAAATCCTAATATGAAAGAAGTAGTGAAAAATGAAGTCATTAAGCTTCTAGATAATGAAATCATTTATCCTATTTTTGACAGCAAATGGGTAAGTCCTACCCAAGTTGTACCCAAGAAGTCTGGAGTCACTGTGATAACAAATGAGAACAATGAGTTAATTCCCACTAGAACTGTTACTGGTTGCGCATGTGCATTGACTATAGGAAACTTAATTCAATGACTAGAAAAGATCATTTTCCTTTACCTTTCATGGATCAAATCCTAGAAAGAGTTGTAGGTCATGAATTTTATTGTTTCCTAGATGGCTATTCGGGTTACAACCAAATTGAAATTGCATTGGAAGATCAAGAGAAGACTACTTTCACATGTCCATTTGGTACTTTTGCATATCGTAGGATGCCTTTTGGATTATGTAATGCACCAGCCACATTTCAAAGATGCATGCTTAGTATATTTAGTGATATGGTTGAACATTTTCTTGAGATTTTCATGGATGATTTTTCTGTTTTTGGCGATTCATTTGATGATTGTTTGACTAACTTAGAAAAGGTTTTGACCAGGTGTGAAGAGAAGAATCTTGTGCTGAATTGGGAAAAATGTCATTTTATGGTAACAAACGGCATTGTACTTGGTCACATTGTTTCATCAAAAGGAATTGAGGTTGACAAATCTAAAATTGAGTTAATTGCAAACTTGCCAACACCAAAATCTCTTAAAGATGTTAGATCATTCCTAGGACATGCTGGTTTTTATAGAAGGTTCATCAAAGATTTTAGTGTAATATCTAAGCCTTTAAGTAACCTTCTAACAAAGGATACTATTTTTGAATGGACTGAACATTGTGAAGAAGCCTTTGTTAAACTTAAAAACTTGCTTACTTGTGCTCCTATCATTCAACCTCCTGAATGGTCATTACCTTTTGAAATAATGTGTGATGCCAGTGATTATGTCGTAGGTGCTGTTTTGGGACAAAGAAAAGATAAGAAACCTTATGTAATTTACTATGCAAGTAAAACTTTAAATAGTGCTCAAACGAATTATACCACCACTGAAAAAGAATTACTTGCAGTAGTATTTGCATGTGAAAAATTCAGATCTTCTCTTGTTGGCTCACCTGTTGTTGTTTTTAGTGATCATGCAGCATTGAAATATCTTCTTTCTAAGAAAGATTCTAAGGCTAGATTGGTGCGGTGGATTTTATTACTTCAAGAATTTGATATCACAATCAAAGATAAGAAATGCAGCGAAAATGT